GCCGCCCCGCTGTCCCTTCGGCCCCCGGGGTGTTTCCTTCTGCCTGAAGAACGCCGTCTTCGTGCTTAGTGGGGTCTGCCGGTGACGGACCGCGGTCTGTTCCAGTCTGTCTGAAGGCATTCGCTCATCTCGAAGCGCCTCCCCTGACCTCTCGAGGGACGGTATTTGCCGAGACAGATTTCTGGGCCGCCCGGGCCGACCGCCCTTCCGTGGTGTCACTTTCCTGACGCAGTTGCTCCTGGGCTTCTGATGGGAGAGGAGCCGCCAGCCTGCTCGCTGCTCCTTGAAAAACAAAGGCGCTGGGCAGCCCGCTCCGCAGAGGTCGTGCTGCTTTGTGTTGTCTTCGGCGGCCTGTGCCCTGATGTGTCTGGCGCCGTGTCGTCGTCCTCCTTGGCACTAGTGTGACGGGACTCCTCAGGTGGTGCTCGGCCCCGTTCTTTCCTCTCCGGAGGGCCCCAGTCGTTTGTGGTTGTGGCAGTGCCACTTCCTGTTTGTTTTTTAACTTCTTTGTCCCGTTCTGCTGTCTCTTAATACTTCGAACGCTTCTAGACCAGCGACGTCCCGTAGAAACGTAATTCACACCAGGAACGAAAGTTAATGTTTTTTGGCAGCCACATTGAAACAGAGAAGCAAGTGAAGTTGATTTGTAACACACTTTAATTCAATGTAGCGTATCATTTCAATGTAGCGTATCATGTGATCAGCATTAAAAACAGTAGTGAGGTTTTTACTTTTTGGGGGTACTAGGTATTCAAAATGTGGTGTTTTATACTGAAAGACCATTTTGTTTTGGCCCAGCTGCACGGCGGGAGCTCGGTGGGCTGTGGGCCTTGGGCCGTGGGCCGCTGTCCCGGGCGTTGGGCAGCGATCTGTGGTATGCCAGGTTCTGTCCTGGGTGAAGGACTTTTATTTTAAATTTTAAAAAGTTAATCGTTCACGCCATCCACGAAGCGGCCCCCGGTTACCCCAGCAGCCCCCCGGCACTGCACACAGCCGTTACAGCAGCGCTGACTGCGTGCCCTGCGCTGTACGCTGCGTCCGTGACCGTCGTGGCCGCGCGTTGGTACTTTGTCCCTTCGCCCCTCGCCCCTCCCCTCTGGCGGTCGCGGTCGGATCTCTGTATCTGTGAGTCAGCTACGAGGCTGCTGTTCTCGAGTTTTTGCAAAAGTAGCGTCTTTCCCAGTTACCGGTGTGGGCCGGCTTTAAACAGATGACACGTAGCATCGTGAAGGACACCTGGAATTTTTATTCAGAAAGCGCACGTGACCTAAGTAACGAAACCTACCAAGCGCCCCTTCGGAGCGGGTCCTTCTGGTGCTGTCCCTAGCGCGTCGCGCTGGCAACGGGACCAGTGCGAGGGTGACCCGCTGGGTCCTGGACGCGTAGCCTGTCTCAGGCCCTTGCGCCCGGGCCACCACCTCCAGTAACCTCTCCTTCCCGCAGCCGCGTGCTCATTTCCACCGACGTCTGGGCCCGGGGGCTGGACGTCCCTCAGGTGTCCCTCATCATCAACTATGACCTGCCCAACAACAGAGAGCTGTACATCCACAGGTACGGGCACGCGCCTCTCCCCGGGTCCCCGTGGTGGCGGGTGCGCTGCGATCTTTACTGCACTGACACGCGTGGCTGTGCTTTATCCCGAAGGATCGGCCGGTCGGGCCGGTACGGCCGGAAGGGCGTGGCCATCAACTTCGTAAAGAACGATGACATCCGCATCCTGCGGGACATCGAGCAGTACTACTCCACGCAGATCGACGAGATGCCCATGAACGGTGGGTGGCGCGGGCTCTGCCCGCGGGGGGTCTCTCCGGGCCTCTCGCCACGCTGGCGCGTCCCCCTTTCGTCTGTGGTGTCCTTGACACGTGTCTCCCTCCGCTTTCAGTTGCCGACCTGATCTGAGGCGCCCGCCGGGGTCCCGCAGCCACGGGGGCCGTTCCGGGCCGGTCCTCGTTCCTGGAGTCATGTGGACTCTCCTCACAGAGTCCCCGCAGTTGGAGTCATGTGGATTCTCCTCACAGAGTGCTGGTGGTGGTAGAGGTTCTTCCTTTTCTTACTTATGTGTAAATAGCGCTTTGCTTTATGTGTTTTTCATTAAACGCTTGAAACTCTTCCGTTGAACTTCCTGACCCACTTCTTAAGGCGTTCCTTGCTTCTCTGGCGACCTGCTGTATAACCCGAGCGGGCCATTCCTCTGACCGTTAAAATGCTAAAGTGGCAGTGGGAGAACAGCCTGGCCTCTGCCCGCCCCAAATTGGTTGGGATGATAATCGAAATTTCCAGGGTGGTGGGGGCTTGGAAATAGTTTTTAAGTTCATCAGGTGATTCTAATTTAAAGCACCTGAAATTATATAGTTGACGGAAGGCATTTTCTCTGAATTCCCAACAAAGAGCGACATATGGGACTCCGATATAGCGTGCTTAGGGCAGTGTCTTAGCCATGGCGCAGGGGGTGACGCCACAGCCCCGGCCACAGCAGTCAGCGCCGTCTCCAGCCAGGAAGGCGGTGGGCGCGAGGGGAGAGCGCTGCCTGGCCTGATCGCACGCCGGGCGGATGGGAAGGAGGGATGTGGGACTTGGAGGAGCAGGCCGTGCACACTTAGCTCCGGGGTGGCCTTGTGTGTGGGCCCAGGCCCAGGCCCAGGCCCCGGCCAGGAGCTCGGGTGTATCACTGGAAAGAAGGATTCATTGCCAGCAAGACTTAATCTGGGTCAGTGAGTATACCACGTCTTGGGGGAGGAAGGAGGGTTGCACAGGGGACATTGTCGGTGACTCGGGGAAGAGATGGCAGGAAGCAAAGATCGCAGTTAAAAAAAATACAGATAGTCACACAAATGTTCAGCGTTGCTGGTGATTCAGAAGTGTCAAGGTGGGGGAGACCTTTCCGCTGGTGGCTGACGTGACAGCTGCAGACTTTCTGGAAAGCAGCCTGGCTCTTGGGCGGTGTCCTGTCCCGCCGTCATACCTGTCACAGGATTGGGATTAGAAGGGGATCCACTTTCAACTGTTTCCAATTTAAAGATATTTTTGCTTGACTATAAAACTACGTCTTCATTATAGGAAAATTTGTAAAACAGAAAAATAAGAGTATGAAAATCACCTGTGTTGTGGGAGAACAGCTCCGCCATGGCACCCATGTCACCTGGCCTACCTTCTCCGGGGTCACGCAGGCAAAGGCTGGAACTGCAGCTGCCCCGTGGAACCTGAGGTCTGTGCGCGCACGTCCCTCAGGCTGTAAAGGCTGCTTAAACCACAAGTAACGACACAGAAGTAAAGTGCGTGACAAACCGCAGTGTGAGAAAAGGCAGTGGGTTTACGCGGCCCCGGTGCTCGTGCCGCGTATGAAGTGGGATCCTGTTACTTGAAGGTAGAGCGTGACCATTCAAGATGGCGTAAACCTTAGTTTTTAGGTATAAACCCTAAAGAAACAACAAAGCGAAACAAGCATCAGAGCCAGCACGGGAGCTGAAGCGGAGTCCTCGACGGTACTTAGAAGGGCCGAAGGGGACAAAACTGGTGAGGACGAGGAACAGCGAGATGGCGGCTTCCGAACAAGCACCCCGGTGATCCCCGCAGACGTGACTCGTCTGTTACCTCAGAAACCAGGAAGAGAGCGGGCAGGACCCCCGCAAGCGGAAGGGAATGACGGGCAGTAAGTGGAATGACAGACAAAGTGAAACTCGAAGTTGGTTCTGGGAAAACGTCATGCATTGTGCCATCTCCTTTCTACGAAACGCCCAAACGGGTACATCGACAGGGACGAAAGTGGGTGAGTGGTCTCCAGGGGCCGGGGAATGGGGAGTGACCGCTCATGGGGGCAGAGTGTTTTTGGGGGGCGAAAATGTTCCGGATTACAGAACATCGTGATGGTTGCCCAATTCTGCGGCTGCACTAAAAACTCAACTGCGTTTTAAAATGAATCGTGTGGTACGGCGACTACGCCAATTACAAGTCAGGTGGGGAATCTAGCATCCTCTACAATTACACTGAAGAACAAAACGGCCGAGCAAGGGGGGAAAGGAAATTGTCAATCAAAAGTAAAAGTTGTTAGACTGGATTACGAAACAAGACCCAACCGTTTACAAGAAACGAAGGCACAAGTAAAAGTGAAAGGCGGAGAGAGACGCGCTGCGGTGACGCCGAGCAACACGAACCCGCAGGGGCTGCGTGGTGCTGCTCCGTGGATGTCACGGCAGGGGACATTGGCGGGGCGAGGGAGGCCTCCCAAGGGTGTGACCACCCTGAACGTCTGCACCTGACGGCTTCGAAAAGCAGAGGTCCAGGAGCCCGACCCGAGAACCGCCAGGGGAACAGGCAGGTCCGCAGTAGGAACGGGAGCTCGCGGTCACCCCCCAGGACGTGGCTCCATCTCGTCGCTTCCCGCCACATCACTGCGTTCCGGCCTGGGCCACAGGCAAGGAAAGGGAGCGAAGGCATCCTGAGAGGAAGGGACAGCGTCTCGCTCCCCGGGGACGGACTGCATGGAGGTCCCGAGGGATCCACAGCAAAGCTGCTGGAACTGACCACCGAGTTCAGGAAAGGCAGCAGCACGCAAGGTCAGCACTCAGAGTCGCCTGTCCTCCCACGGCGCAGTGGGCACTGGAACAGGACGTTTTAAAAAACACATTTACAGTGGCATCAAATGTGTGAAATACGTGGGGCTACATCTAACAAAATCGTAAGCTCCGTGCATCAAAAACCACAAAACATGGCTGAGAGAAACAAAAGATGTAAAAAAAAAAAATGAGAGTTCACAGACCGGAGGAGTCGGTTTTGCTAAGATGGTTCTCCCCACGTCGACTTACAGGTCCAGCACGGTCCTAGTCAACACCAGGAGACACTTTTCTGCTTCAAATCGACAAGCTATTTCTAAAATTTACATGGAAATACAAAGGATCTAGCGTACCCAAAACTACTTGGGACACATGGGCACAGCAGGAGGACTTCGCTGCCTGGTGTCGGGAATGTTTCAGAGCTGTGGCCCCAGAGACGCCACCAGCAAGAGGACAGAGCGCGCCGTGGGACACAGGAGTCCGGAAACAGACCGCTGGTCCACGGGGGACGCATCTTCGGCAAAGGTGAGGCCGTTCCGCGGGGAAAGCATGAGTTCTAACAGATGCTGCGGAACAGCTGGGTAGCCGTGTGCAGCAAAGGAAGCAGCCTTGACCTTGACTTCAGATACACGAACTGACGCGAAACGTAAGACCTGAAATGACCAAGCTTAAAACGGGAGAAACGGCTGTCACTTTGCATTTGGCAGAGATTCAAGAGTAAAGTAAAACGGCAAACCACGGACTGGGAGGAAATACTTGCAAAACACCTGGCAAAGGAGTTGCAACTGAAACGTGTCGAGAACTTGCACGTGGTGGGTGGAATGATGGCCCCCAAAGGTGCCCACGTGCTAATCCCTGGGAGCTGTGAGGTCACATTAAATGGCAGGAGGGACTTTGCAGGTGGAATTAAAGATCTGCGATGAGACGATGCTGGATTATCCAGGCGGGCCCGTCTCATCACGAGCCCGCAGGAAGTCAAGAATCTTCCTGGCTGCGGTCGTGTGGTCTTCGGGACTTGCCGTGTGCTCCCCGCTCGGCGGTGTGGCGGAGAAAGGGCAGGAGAGGTGCTCGGGTGTGAGGAGGGCGTAGCCCCCGTTGCGGGGTTTGGAGGTGACGATCCGGAGCAGCCGCTAGAAGCCGAGAGGGATGTCTGGCTGGAGTCGCCAGGGCAACGGGCGGAAGTGACTTCCACCAACCACCTGCGTGAGAAACATTCTGAGGCGCCCAGGAGGGGAGCAGCCCTGCCGATGCCCAGCTTTAGCCCAGTGAGACCCACGTCGACCTTCTGACCACAGAACTGTGACCAAATAAATTTGCTGACGCATCTCCCACCTGCCCCGAGAATGCTCGCCGGCAGCGCCTGCGGCTGCGGCGTTTGCCCCGATAATGCTCGCGGGCCACCGTCCTAACCTCACCCCCAAAGTTTGCCACGAAATATCTCGTTTATTCTTTTCTCATCGCTCTAGTATGGCGACTGAAAACAACTGACTTCTGTAGCATCCTGTTTTCAGTAGTGGCGTCTCCATTTGCACAGTTGAGTAATTCTCGATCGCCGAGCATGTCGAATCCCAGCACTGGCAGCAAGCTCATTTTTCTAAGCGGGAAAGGGTTAATGAAAAGCCACTGAGCTGTGATTCATGCCGTCCATAGAAAACCAGCGTATTTTATAACTCAGTAATAAGCAGTCCAAGTGAAAAATGGGGAAAGGGTTTGCACAGACACCTCACCAGCGGTTTATGGGTGACAAACAAGTCTCTGCAGGGATGCTCCACATTGTTAGTCACGGGGGACACGCAAAGCAGGACCATGGTGAGACCCACACACTGGAGTGGCGGAGGCTGGAGCAGACACGCCACGCGTGTTGGCCGGGAGCGGGGCAGCCACGGTTCTCACCTTGCCGGCCGGCAAGCAGCATGGTGCGACCGCGTGGCGGTCTGGCAGCTTCTTAAAACATTCACCACCACCCCCTGCATCTCGCCTGACCATGTCACCCTCGCCATCTGCCCAAGAGAAACAAACACGTCTATCCAGAGACATGGCCAGGATTGCGCTCCACAGCTTTATTCACAGTAGCTGAGTCCAAAACAACCGTGACGTCCATTTAAAGTTGACAAATTGTGGCCTATCCCTACAATGGAAAACTATTTAGCAGCGAGAAGGGACGAGGTGTTGACACATACGTGATGCTCGGTAATTATGCTGAGTAACGTTAGAGACAAAACCCACAAGCAGCAGTGGTCGCCCAGGGACTGGGGTGTGGGGGACACAGCCCAGTGCGGGGCACACGTCCCACCAGATGCCTGACACCAGCAGGCCCAGCTGGACGTTCCCCGGGCCCCTCAGAGGTGGGGATACTGGGACGTGAGGCGATGTGCGGGCGAGGGCACAGGTCACACACGCCCTGCCTGGCATGCGTGGGGGCTACTGAGGTGGAGTGGCCGCTGTGCCATGGCCCTGGGGCACACCCTCCACACCCCGAAAGCCACAAAGATGAGCAGAAGCTTGACTGCAGCAAACACTCCTTTTATTAAAAATAAATGCACTTAGGATTAAAGGTCTGCGTGGCCCTAAGAACCCCAAGCCCCCGGGCCCGCTCTTGGACTGGCGGACAGTGCCATCTGCTGGTGGGGCGGCTGCCCAGAAAGCACCCAGCACGGCCTGTCATCCGGTCAGAGCAGCAGAGCCACCTGGGACAGGGACTACATCCCCATTGCACGGGCAGGCGGCTGGTGGCAGCTGACCCTGACACCCATTCCAGTGACGAGCCACAGAGAGTAAGCCTCCCGTGTGACATTCCAAACCCTCAGGAGCCTGACCCAACTTGGGATCTGGGCCGAGCGACTGCTGTGGCCCAGCACCCCAGCGCTGGAGGGAGACTCAGGGGCGAGCCTGGGCATTCATGGAAGGTAGCGTGACTTTGAGGCCCACGCGCTGCCCAGGTGCACAGGCGTGGGGGGCCGCTGGGAACTGGCGCTCCGTGAGCCGCGGCCTCCGTTAAGACCAGCTGATGAGGAACTGCTCTCCCAGTGCCAGCGAGACAGGAATGGCCAGGGTCTGGAAACAAGGAGAGAAAATCGGCCTCTAAACCACGGCCAGCACAGGCGAGACCCCAAGCGCTCAGCAGACAGGGGTCGCCAGGACCCCGGGCTCCGCCCGCCCCCTTGGCCATCCCCGGGGGACGAGCCCTCAAGCCCTGTCTGTGGCATCTCTTGCCTGGCTGTCGGGGTTGTAGGTGAAGTTGGAGACAGGAACGCCATTGGACACAACCTGCTGGGGGGCCGTGGCCACCCCCAGGACAGTCACCTTCCTCAGCTGCAGGCCAGCCCCCTCACCGGTCACGTGCACCAGCTCGTTGACGATGGTGTTCTGGCCAGAGCAGAGAGACCCGGGGCTGTCAGCGGACAGCCCGGGCAGGTGGCCACCTGGATGGCGCCTCTGGACAGCCGAGGGCAAAGGGCAGGCCGGGACCACGCCACCGCCTAAGCCGTGAGATGCTGGCAGGGTGCACGGGACTCTGGCCAGCGCCCTTGGCCCTCAGGCCCTTCTCCCCCGGGGCGGGGGGGCAGAGATGGCTTTCACTTGGGTTGACCCTCCAGAGACAAGTAGTCATCCCGAGGACCCTAGGCCTGGCTGCCCTCACCAGATCAGGGCAGTTGCCTCTGAGACAGCCCCTAGCCCCCCGCCCCAGGACTCACGTTCCTGGCCAGGAAGACGAGCTGCGTGTAGGCCCCGCGCTCCAGCGCCCCCAGGCTCTCCCCGTCGTCCCAGAAGAGCTCCCCTCGGGCCTCCCCGCTCCCAGTCAGGGCCACGGCAAGGGCCATGGGCTGCTTACGGGACTCCGTGGTGGAGAGGCCGGGGCCCTGCGAAGGGGGTGGCAAACGTCACTGCTGCCAGCCTGGTGGCGGCTCCCACAGCAAGGGCAGGAAGAACACGAGGCGGGACAGCCCCATGCTGCCAGGAATGAGGATCGGCAAGAGAGCCCACAGCCTGGACACCCGTGGGGACCGCCTTTTCTGAGGCGGTCACCCTAGAGGACGTAGGAGACCACAGACATTTGCAGACGGCTTCCTGCAAAGCACCGGCGTTGCAGGCTCCCCTCTGCAAGGCCCAGCCACGAGTCAGGGCCGGCTGTGTCCTGAGGTCCCTCTCTGGACCCATTCATCCCCCACCCCCAGACACCATCATCTCTGCCTGGGGCCCTGGGAACCCCAACCAAACGGAGGCCCCGGCAGCGCCACCGGAGCTGGGCAAAGGGGCTCGGGCGTCCAGGCTGGGTACCTGCAGGGGGATGATGTGCCCAGCCCGCAGGTGGAGGTTGATGGTGTCCAGTGGGGCTGACAGTGTCACCCACTGACCCTTGCTGTGGACGGCAGACTTGAGGGGTGCTGGAGGTGGAGGCGGGAGGCTGCCAAGGGCCTCTACTGGCACCTGGAGGGGACAGCACGTCATGGCGAGTCCTGGGCAGTGCCAAGGCCCCGTGCTGGCACTGGGAGCCGGGGGCCCCACGTGGAGGCCGGCTGAGGGCAGCCGGGTGTGACCTCAGGGGCACAGCACAGCCCAACCACCTCGTGGGAACAGAGAGGCCCCAGGTCTGAGGACACTGGGGGGCAGGATTGGAGTCCCGGCTCAGCCTGTGGCAGTGGGGCCCGGGGCCCGGGACCCTGGAGAGTTACGCGCTCGGGACTCAGCTGCCTCATCTGGACACGGTTTCCGCGAGGGCCGCGCGGGCCGACGCACGTGCAACACCCAGGCGAGGCCCTCAAGCTGCTGGGACGCGACGGCACGTGCGTCCTCCTCACCACCTTGTCCACCCTGACAGGACGGGCGGGAGGGGCCCCTTCCGTCCCCCAGTCCTGCTGGGTGTCAGGGTCCCCAGACTCACCGTCTGCAGGTCGTACCACGTGCCGGAGGGGAAGTAGCCGGTCACCTCCACCTTCCCGGCCTCGAGCACTGGGGTAACGAGCAGAGCCTCTCCCCACAGGAGCTGGCGGTCCACGGTCCAGGTGCTGGGGTCCTCGGGAAACCTTCACACGAGGTTGGAGTGGGGAGGCGTGTGGGCCTGGAGACCTGAGGTCAGGGCGCCCAGGGTCCCCGCAGGGACGGGGTGCAGGGGCCACGCGCCCGCGCTGTGCCCCCGCTGCTCGTCCACTGGCTCCCAGCGCGGGGCTGGCCGACTGTGGCGGGTCCGACGCCAGGGACCGCGTCATTCGCCGTTTCCTCGTTAACGCCTTCTCTGATCTCTGCACCCCGCTATCCGCCTTCTCTGATCTCTGCACCCCGCTATCCGCCTTCTCTGATCTCTGCACCCCGCTATCTGCGTTCGGGGCGGTCAGTGTTTCTGTGTTCGGAGAAGTGTTTCTTTCTTTCCTAAGTTAAACCTCCTCCTCTTAGCTCTTCGGTTTTAGGGCTCAGGACCCGCCCCCCTACACCCCCCTCCAGAGCAACGCCGCCTTCCCGTGTTCGCTCTGGCATTGTCTACAGCTGCATTCGGGGCGTTTAACTCACCGGATCCACCTGGAACTTCGGTTCGTGTGTTGAGAGGGGAAGATAAACCGATTTTTCAAATAGGTAGCGAATCACGTTACTACGTGAGGACCCTTTTGCCTGCGGAGGTGTGGTGGACCTTACGTGTGACTGAGACCTGTTTCAGGGTGTCTGTCGCTTTTCTTTTGAGGCCCTTTTCCGTTAACCAGCCCCAGGCGGACTGAATCGAAAGTTTTATAACCTGCTTTACCACCTGGTACACCTGGTCCATACTCAGCATTCTTCAGCCCAGATTTTTCCGGACTTTGAACATCCCAAGCCCTTGAGCTGGAATCTAAGGGGTGGGAACTGGGGGTGCAGAGGGTACCCCAGTGGGGAGGGCCCAGGTTTTGGTTTGTCTCCCTGATTCCTTGCTGGGTCCCAGGTGGGGCCCCCTGGGCCACCGCCCGTCCTCCCCATCCCGACCCGGGCACTCACTCTAGGAAGAGGGGCCGGGCCACGGTCTCGCCCCTGGCGTGGGCCCCGAGGAAGATGCGGCAGCAGCGCGTAGCGCAGGGCCAAGGCCTTCCTCATGGCCTGCTGGGCCGCCTCGCTGAACCGATACGGCTCCTGTGGCTGCGCGGGAGGCAGAGGTGTCGCAGGGGGCCCCTGGGCCCCTCCCTGGGAGACGGGCGCCTGGCGGGTTGGCCCACGGGGAAGGGGATCCCGGGCCAGCACCGCCAGCTGCCCCGCCTACCTGGCTGTGCAGGTCGTTGTGGTTCCGCATGAAGGGGTAGAAGGCCCCCAGCTGCGTCCAGCGCACGCACAGCTCCTCCGAGGTGTCGCCCAGGAAGCCGCAGACGTCGGCCCCGACCAGGGGCACCCCCAGCAGGTTGAAGAGCAGGATTTCTGCAGGGCGGAGTCAGATGGGGCCAGGCCAGCTCAGGGCCTAGGACAGGCGTGTCTGCTGAGCTGGCCTCTGCAGCGCCGACTGGTGGACAGACTGCTGCCTAACACCCGGCCTGGGCGCAGCACACTAGCCCGTTAGGGTTGAACGTGTCCCCCAAAAGGTAACACGCAAGCCCTTTGGGCGTCCTTGCAGATGCCATCAAGTTAAGATGAGGTCACAGGCCCTGATCCAGTCTGACTAGTGACCTTCTAAGATGACGAAGATGCCCAGGGACAGAGATCAGAATGAGGCGGCCCCAAGCCAAGGAGGGCCGGAAGCCACCAGAAGCCGAAGAGGCAGGAAGGATTTCCCCAAGGTGTCAGACAGCGGGGCCACCAGCAGGTGACTCAGACTTCCAGCCTCCGGACTGCAGGAGGCGTCTCTGTTGTTCCGAGCCCCCCACCTGGGTGCGTGGAACTTCCTTAGAGCAGAGGGGTCCGCAAGTCCCTGAGCTGCTGGAGAGTCAGGCTGCAGGTCGCCTCCGCCTGGGGCCCTGGGGACTCGCATCTGGTTGCAGCGGGCCCTGGGGGCTGCACGACCTCTGCCTGGTAACGGTCAGTCGCACCAGAACTAGAGCTGGGGGAGGTCGTCAGGCCAGCAGCACCCCGCTCTGCAGGAGGCGTCGGAGACTGCCTCGAGGGCACAGCAGAGCCCAGGCACGTGGGCAGAGCCTGCTTCTGGGAGGAAGGCGGGCCTTCGCGGCAGGACTTCCCAGGACTGCCCTGTGGCCGGGGGTCTGCAGCGCACCCCACACAGGAGCCAGGCTGCGACTGTCATGGTGCCTCCGGGCCCAGGTGGGGTGGA